AATTACGCCATTTACACTTTAATTGGGCCTAGAATATATATTACATGTTTATTGGGCCTTAGTGGTCCATTTACATGCTTGTTGGGCCTGGAATGTTCATTACATGTTTATTGGGCCTTTGTGGTCCATTTACATGCTTATTGGGCCTGGAATATACATTACATGTTTTATTGGGCCTTAGTGGTCCATTTACATGCTTGTTGGGCCTAGAATATCCATCTACATGCTTGTTGACTTCATTCATTCACGTATATACTCGTTTGGCTTTGTAAACTTAAAACTTACACGGAAACAATATACATTGTGCAAATTCATATTCACGTAAATTCAGTTAAGGATCTTGTGAGACACTTCGTTTGACACCTATCGAGTGTACAACCGTAGCCTGTAGTTATAACCAGAGTCTCCTGGAGGGAGAGCGAGAGTTTGTGTATAGATCTATACGGGGTTGACACCCCACACCTGAACTGTTCGCTACAGTTAGACTAGACCAGTCTAGGGTGACAAACCTTACCTTAAACAAGTCGGCGTCTGAAAAACGTCATGACAGGCGGATTAGTCATTATCAAGTATGGTTATAACGACTCACTTAGAGGAATTGACTCTATTATAAAATTTACGGAATACACTTTCTGTTGATAACACGGTAATATATACGCATTGGTACTCAATCTTAGGGTGTTAAGATCACAACGTTTTATAGACAGACAATATCGGATTGTCTGGGACAATTCACTTTATACATTTTCAAATATTAACACACATGCATTAATACAAGATCGGACACAAACATTCCAAATCGTTTTTCAGAAAATATCGGATTTTCTGGTGTTTACAAAGTAATACAAAACATTTTACTCAAACATGCTTATGAACTCACCAACATTGTATATGTTGACCTTTTCAAATTAACTTGTATTCTCAGGAAATCATTGAGCAAGTTGGTCAGCAAGAACACCTGGATATTTTGTTGCGTTTTGTTATCATCATACTTTGGATATTTTGGCATGTAATTTGAAATACAATACTTGATGTAAACAATGACAGTTGTAATATTGAATGCGTGATGATGATGATGTTTGGTTTCAATTATATACACTGTGATGATACTACAAAAGATGAAGTCACCCAACCCCCAGACGTTTCCGCCGTCTGGTTCGGGGGTGTGATAACTGTATAAAAAACTGATTTTTGTAATGTATAAAATGGTGTTATTGTAACAGTCCGTTTTTAAAAATAAATAAATAAATAATAAAACCTAGAACCCCGATACGTATTTTTATGCATTGTATTTTAGCCTAAGTCGTACTAATTAACGGGGTGTACACAACTGGGGTGTTAAAAGCTACATTTTTATTATTGAGGGTTAAATGGAAATATTTGGACTCGAGTTGTAATAAATTTTAGAAGGTGTGGGCTACTTGGTAGTTATTGGCACTTAAGTTGAAAAGATTATGAGTCGGAGGGACTGGAAGTGTCAAATTCTTATGAAGATTTTATGGAACACGGAATTAAACCGGTGCCTTCCTTTCCCTCTCGTTGCATCATCTAACCCTAACCCTAGTCACACATCTTCAGCCGCCACCATGAGAAGCCTCCTAGGCCGCCGCTGCCAGTCGAGTTCGAACACCACCCATCCGCATGCCACCTCGTCGATGAGCGCCACCACAACGTTGCTGCCAGACGTCATGGGCAGCCAGAAGAGCCACCGAGATGGGAGTTTAAAGCTGGATTCGTCGTGCGTGGGTCGAGAGCAACTGGGAAGCCATCGGTAAGGTAAATCGTAACCCACCTTTTCTTTCTCTCTCTCCCTCTCTCTCTCTCTCTCGTTCTTTTCTATGGGTACGACAACATAATCGTCGTTATAGTCGTCGGTGGCCCTTGGGGCGCTGTTTTCGTCCATTTCCAGCGACGTTAGCTGCCTAGGTGGTGGCTGAGTGTGCGCATCTTCGAGTATAGATGTTGCTGTCGGTATTCGCGGTGTAACATACACGTTATTTGGTCGGAAAACCCAGCACCACCACCGTGGGGTGGTGGCTGCCACCGTTTTGCCGCCACTAGCCACCATCTTCGGTGGCTGTGTGTTTATGTGTGTGTGTGGATTGGTGCTTGGAGTACTTTTGTCTTTATTTTGGCCTAGAATCATAACCACCACCATCGTGAGGTGGTGGCTGCCGCTGTGAACCGCCGTCGACCACCACCGCCCGAGGTGGCGGTGGGTGGTGCTCGACATAGTGAAATCCTAATCGGCCCAATAACTTAATCTTGTACTTAGTTGGCTTGTGATTGGGTTGGAAACCCTAATTAGGGTTTAGAAAACCCTAATCTTGGAAATTTTAGTTTGGACTTGCCGGGACCCGCATTTTGGACCATTGGATTGAATCTATGGCTTATGCCCGACCACATGGTATGATTGGTCTAATGGAGTGATGGACTTAATGGATTAAGTCCTTAATGGGTTAAGCAAGAACACTTAACCCTAATCGTCATGTTATGTGAAAAACCCAAATTATGATTGGGCTTCAAGTTGGGCTTAGGTGTTTTGATTCTTAATGGGCCATCTATGAACAAGTGTATGGACTAGGATATTTGGATGGGCTTTAGGGTTAGGCCAATGTAAAGGGTTTTGGCCCAATTTGAAAATTTGGGCTATAGTTGGGGCTTGGTTGATTATTTGATTTTTGGGCCTTGAGAGTGTAAGGTTGGGCCTTGGGCTTGGATCAAACTAGGTTGGGGGTAATGTAGTATTTGTACCCCAAGCATGGACTTAGGGTTATGTATTGGAACCCGATTATTAATTGGGTGTTGTTTTGACGTTGACAGTTCGGGAATCTGTCATCTAGTAGCTAGAGCTTTATCCGCGGGACTTAAACAGAACAAGGTGAGTCTCCTCACTGTGTTTAGCGGGTCGAAGGAACCAATACCGACCTATGGTTATTATGTTAGGATGCCAGTTGTCTGCGTGACCCTGGCATGTGTATGTATTGATATGTATGCTGGGCGGGGCCCGATGATTATTTTATATGCTAGTGTCAGGTTATGCATATATGACTTGTATGTGGGCGGGGCCCGTTGATTGTGTTGTATGCTATTATCTTTGTGATTTACGTATGTGTTGAAATGTTTATATGATTATATGTATGTGAGTGTGGGCGGGGCCCGTATCTCATTATTAGCTGAGTGTGGGCGGGGCCCGTATCTCATCATTACTTGTGTATGGTTATTGGTATGTTTGGAAGGCTGTGTACTTGCTGCCTGTGTAATACTTGTATGTGTTTGTTTATGTATGTGAGTGTGGGCGGGGCCCGTATCTCATTATTATTTGAGTGTGGGCGGGGTTCGTATCTCATAATTAGCTGAGTGTAGGCGGGGCCTGTATCTCATTGAGCGTGGGCGGGGCCCGTATCTCTTAAGTAGTTGAGTGTGGGCAGGGCCCGTATCTCTTAAGTAGTTGAGTGTGGGCGGGGCCCGTATCTTTTAGTTAGCTGAGTGTAGGCGGGACCCGTATCTCACAGAGCGTGGGCGGGGGTCGTATTTCATAGGGCGGGGCCCGTTACCCGAGTGTGGGCGGGCCCCGTACAACCTAGTTGCGTGTTATGTGTATTGTATGTGGTCGTTTGGGGGGGGGGGACTCACTATGCTTCGTGCTTACGGTTTACAGTTTTGGTTTCAGGTACTTCTGGTAGCTAAGGGAAGAGCTCGGGATGACTGCATTGCACACAACATGATGTTTTAGCCTGGGATGTTTACTCTGATATATTTGACATGTGTTTTCTTACGATGTTTTGAGATACTATGACTTATGTTTTGATGAGATGATTCTAATAACTATGGTTTAATTATGATTTAAAAATGAAATTTTTGGGACCGTATTTTTGGGATGTTTCAGTTATACATTAATGAAAAACTCATAAAAAATCCCTTGTAGGTACGTTATTATTGTATGCTATCTAAGAAAAAAATCACATTGTTATTATATGTTATATGAGGAAAACTATATATGTAGATAACATACATTGGTGATAAATTCATATTCTAGATAATAAATTTTTTACACACAGAAAGTATTTTTATCATAAATTTATATTCTAGATTATAACATTCTTACACTGCTAACAAAGGAAAGAAAGCATATATAACAAGATAAAGTATTATTAAAATATTTGTTTTGGATAACGATTTACTACTCAACGTAAATGAGATGATTGGTTTCTCAACGGAAGAAAGAGAATTAGGGGAATAACCGCAAAAGGGGAAAAACATAAAATCTTTTGTGTCAATAACGGTGAGTTATGGTGAGAAAATGAGTAAAAACCACCACCAAGTCATTATTTTTTTAATTGGAAGATGTTGTAGATTTGAGAAGAGGCCAGTTCATGTCTTATAAGAAAAGATGAGGCATATAACTTTTTTAGGTCTATATTCTTCTAAAAACATATAATATGCGAACAAAATGGGTGGCCACCCACAGACGAAAGGCGCCACAAAGAGCTTTTGAAAAAAAAACAAACATCTTAATGCCATAAAATTCTGTCAAAAACGATGTTATTTTGATTCGTAATAACATGAAAAAATGGGAAGACGTTATACTTATTTTGTATATCCGATGAAGAGGTGAAGTGATGGAGGGAGGGGTAAGATTGGTGGTTGAATCGGTTAATAAATGGAAAAAAAAAAGGGTAAATGGCGAGGTTTGTATGTGATCCTTTACACATATAAAACATATAAAATTTAAGTGCAACTGATCATTTTGCATGTATTTAACTGTCCTCTGTTAATGTTGTTAGTTTTAGAGATCCAATCCGTAATAAAACCTTAAATGAGGAGCTTTTTGCAAATCAAAAATATTTGGATCAAATCCAAAGAAAAGTTAAGGACCATTTTTGCAGTTTTCAAAGGGAAATATCATCAATTTTAGAAAGTTCGAGTCCTCACATTGTAAATATCGCATTTTTTTTCAATAAAACAAAAAGTCCCAGAATCAATAAAACAATCGAACCATTGCCAGAAATAGTCGCAGCGTGAAAGAAAGTGCTCAAATCCATCATCTCACCAATACTTTCTCTCTCTAGAAAAACTTCTCTCTCTCTCTAAAAGGCAAAAGCCCCTTGGCGTAAATCTTCCACTTCTATGGCGAACAGCAACCTCCCTCGAAGAATTATCAAGGTATCATTAACACAAACAATTCTTAATCATCCGCTCCTGATCCCTTCCCCAGTTACTCATTTTTCACATCTTTCATCCTTTATTCGTATACCTTTTCTTGTTTAAGATCCATTTTCCGGCGATCACCGTCGTGTATTCGAAAACCCTAACTTGAGTTTTAACTTTCTGGTTTTGATACAGGAAACCCAGCGCTTACTTAGCGAACCAGGTGATTATAAACTCCATCCCCTTTGCTCACGTATTGTTGATTTGTTGTATTGTCAATTACAAATTAGAAAGTTCATGTGTTGTTGATTTGTTGTATGTCTTTGATTTTGTGGTGTAGCACCGGGAATAAGCGCATCGCCATCAGAAGATAATATGCGGTATTTCAATGTCATGATTCTTGGCCCATCACAGTCTCCTTATGAAGGTAAATTAACTTATAAATGGCTTTTTCTCTTTCCTTCTTCATTATATCAAAAAGAAACACTCATATAAATGGCTTATCCGATTAAGTCTTGTGTCAATTAACTCCATTAAGGGTTAAGCACTTAATGTATTCAGAAACCTGTTATTCTTATAATTACAGGAGGAGTCTTCAAGCTGGAGTTATTTCTGCCTGAGGAATACCCAATGGCTGCTCCTAAGGTACACAAAACATCTTCTTATACATGTTCATAAATATATATATTTATAATCACATATTTGTTTATGATTTTTTTTTAATAAATGTTTATAAATACATTGTTGTAACAGGTTCGATTCCTTACAAAAATCTACCATCCAAATATTGATAAACTTGGAAGAATATGTCTTGATATTCTAAAAGACAAATGGAGTCCTGCTCTTCAGATTCGCACAGTGCTCTTGAGGTAGAATTATTTATACTTTATAACTTATAATTCTATTAATTTTTTATTTTTATTATTATAAGTTAAAGAAATGAATGAGGATTTGTAATTTGATGTGGTAGTATTCAAGCACTTTTAAGTGCTCCAAATCCAGATGATCCGCTTTCAGAGAACATAGCAAAACACTGGAAATCAAATGAAGCAGAAGCTGTGGAAACAGGTAGTTAATATTAAATATTAATAGCATCCTTTTTTTTTTTTAATATTTTGAAAATGTTACTTTTTTATATAATTGAAGATTGCTATAAAAGTAAGTTGCTATTGTTGGTGTTGATTTGTTTTTTTATTTTTATTTGGTGTGTGTAGCAAAGGAGTGGACGCGTTTGTATGCAAGTGGGGCCTAGCGGATGTATTTTGTTCGGGACTCTGAAAATAAAAAATAAAAAAAAAATATTTTCATTACAACATATTAATATTCTCCATGTATTGATTACTCTCTCTTCACTTTTAAAACCCTGTTTCTTTTTGGTTCAAATGAATATATGATGTATCTTTTATATATCAAGAATTTAATGAAGAGATGTTTCCTTGGATTGGTTATAATTTTCTGGAAATGATTTTGTTTTGTTTGTTTTATTTTTATTGAAAGAAAAAGTGGATGCATTTTAGTAATCAATTTATTAAAATAAGTATGTTGATACATAGTGTGAGCATATTGTTTTAGTAAAATAAGTATGTTGATATGGAAGACATTTTGAGATGCATGCATTTTATCAACGATTGTTGAATGTTACATGGAATTAAATGAACATGAGGCCCTTATGATGGAAACTCAAAAGACCTTGACAAGTTTCAATGGACCTTATACTTATATAATTCTCAACATGTTAATTTTTTTTATAGCATTATCGTATTGATTGAATTATGTAACATGTTTGGTGTATTTTTAGTAAGACATTATATAATATGTCATTTGCAACGAGTCCCAGCGTCGGTCCAAAGATATAGTGAGTCCAAGTCGAAAAATAAAAAATAGGCTCCTAAAGTCATAAATATAATAAAAGTTAAATGGAAAATAGACACACCGTTATAAAATTCATGATTAATATTAAAAAACACAAATATTATCACAACATTACAAAAACAACTAATTTAAAGAAAATAGGTCTCTTAACATTTTTAGATAAGTTAATTTTTTATCTCTCTATATGTATACCATATACTCTGAGAATTTTGGGCCTCTTAGAGATATGGGTCTTGGACGACCGCTCGGGTTGCCCACCGTCTGAGTCGTGCCTGACGGGTCCTATACAAATATGGAATTTTCAAATAAACACCAATATGCCATTTCATACGAAACAAAATTTTCATTTTCATTTCGCATGCCAAAACAATAAATAGCTATTATATTTAGGGCAATGCCATTACATGATTAGTGTGAAACAATATCATAATCACTAAGAAAAAACTAGAACGGATGAAAACCGCATACAAAAAAAAATCAAAATTCTAATAAAAAAATGTCTGACTTTAGTTGTTTGCTTCAATTGGTTTTGCACAATGTTCACTATGATGCTATCTAATTATCTTATTCAAAAATTTCCGTATCCAAAGGTGGGGAGGTTTGTGGGACAATTGCTCAACAAGTGGTGAAGGTAGAAACACATTTTGGAGGCCATTTTGGGGTCTTTTAAGGGGTGTACGGCCACACTTGGGTGTGCGGCCGCACACACCATACCATTATGAGTTCTAGGCATTTTCTAAGACTAAATCAAGTGTTCTTAACAAGATTTAAGCAAAGGGGAAGGGTACTTACGATCCGGAGGCTCGAGAAGGTCCAAAATCGCCAAGAACAAGTGTGTGTTCTTTGTGTTCTTGGTGAGATTTGAAGATCTATACAAAATATGATTTCAAATGGATGAAATCAAAGGATGTAACTAGATTATGAAGATTAACAACAAATCGGGAGAAGAACACTTACAAACTCGAAGATCTAGGCTGAAAATCGGATGCTAGTTGAGAGAGAAATCGAGTTCTAGGCTTGGGAGGGTGAAAAAGGATTAAAGGAGGCTGAGTTCTACCTTAGTACACTTGAGTGTGCTTCCAGGAGAGGGGTGTGCGGCCGTAGACTCCTGATGTTGGAGTGTAAGGCTCGATGTTGGTGCTAGAATTGTACGCGATCCATTCCTATACTCGAGGCTAAATGTACTGAGCTTTGAACCTTAAAACGGTCTCTAAATGAGGCTAAATGATAGCAGAAATGAGTCTGAAACCCAGTTGAGTTGATTGGCTAGACTTTACAAGTCAAAATTTTTCGGGTTGTCACATCATCCCCCCGTTAGATGGAATTTTGTCCCGAAATTAGCTTTCTTAGCCGTACTACTGGGGTTGCGCTCCTCTGATTGGCAGAATACCCACTCGTAGACCTGGCACTTTGCCCTATTGTTCATGATAGGATTCATAATCGGCCCATCTACCATTACCTCATGTATATAAGTTGTATATAATTAGGATTAGTTAGACGGTCGGATGTGCGACTCTGCCCCGGGTCCATAACCAAACAAGGAACAGGAGATAGAGCAGAAACACACATACTAGATCTGCGTAATCATAATCATATACCACCCTTGCGTATACACCGAATAGTGATAGGTGGGCTGTATTCGTCCTTAGCCTCTGTGCTCGAACTTGGTCTTCTGGACGAGCGGTAATTCGGAAAGGTCTGTGAAACATACGACGACAATGTTTCGGAAGACAAAGTACTCTTTGCATGAGTACTTCTGGGTTTAGAATACAAAAGACAAAGCTGAAGTTTAGATCGGACTGTCGTTACGAATGACGAAGGTTTCGCGAACTTGACGGTCGAGGCGATAGAAACATATGAACTTAGTATGGTGAAGACCACGCCAACTCATGACGAATGATAGTAACAGACTCTTTACTGAACAAAGTTTTGGCCAATTTGAAAGAAACGTTTGTTATACGATGATGTACTTCCCTAGTGTGCTCGAATACGTACTCTTTCTAATGTTATAGCACTTTCTATTTTCCCCTTGTTGTTAACACTTCTACGTATCGTATCGCGATGTGCGCGTACATACCGCGAAAGTGCTTTGATAATTAATATTGATACTTTAAACTACGATCCTCCTTGGTACCACTACGATCGCCTGGAATGTACAAGTTATGAATAATTAAGATGAATAAGACGGTCGACTGAGTAACTCTGCCTCAAATCCACAACCAAACAAGGAACATGAATTAAGGCGGAATCACTCACTCTGAGTCTGCAAAATCTTAGCTATGCCCAACCCTAATGTACATACTAAGCCATCATAGCTTCTCAGAACGGATCTTTTAGTTCTTTTGAATACTGTGACCTACTTCATTAAGTGAGTTATTATAATTACTTTTAAGTGTTATCCCCAAGTTTTAATCTTATATAAATATAAATTAATTTTAAAAGTAATTACTAGTTCGAAAACGTACCGTTGCTCGTCGATGACTCTGGGGTTGATTCTCCTGCGATGATCATCAGGATCCGTCCATCAGCTCCTGAGTTCTTTGTTATCGGGCAGTCTTTCCGGAAATGTCCAGTCTCACCACAGCCATAGCAGACTTGGTTTTCTTCAACTCCGGGGACTTGGGAGATCGGTTGAGCCGGTGCCCTGCAGAAACAGACTGTGTGTCCCTTTCTGTGGCAGTTCAGACACTGCATTTCCCGACATACTCCGGTGTGGTGATAGTTGCACTTTCCACACTTCGGGAGGGTTCCAACATATCGACTGGCAGGTGCTGGAGTAGCAGGTGTTGTGGCGGCGTACATAGTACTCGTGTGTTCTTCCCGCGTGGGTTCCTGTGTTGTTCGCCTCTTCTTCCTCTTGTTCCCCGACTTCTGGCTATTGTCCTCTTCCCTCGATGGCTCGGGAACAGGGACTTCCATGCCATGGCGGACTCCATGGTCGATGAGTCGCTGGGCCAAGCGTTTAGTACTGTCGAATGTGGCTGGGTTAGAAGACAGAACATCTCCTTGGATCGGGGCAGTTAGACCCCATATGTATCTCTCTATCTTCTTGTTCTCCGGGGCAACCATCCCGGGGCATAGAGCTGCTAGGTCGCTGAACTGGTCGGTGTAGGCCACTATGTCTGAGCCGACCATAGTGAGCTCCCACATCTCTTGTTCCAGCTTTTGAACTTCGCCCAAGGGGCAGTATTCTTCCAGCATTAACTCTTTCAGGTTCTCCCAACCTATTAAGTTAGCCACTGAGAGGGTCAGTGACTTAACATGGCTGTTCCACCATGTAAGGGCTCTGTCAGAGAAGGTGCAAGAAGCAAACTTCACTTTGCTCCCTTCAGGGCACGAACAAATTTCGAAGACCGAATATGTTTTCTCGAACCATCGCATCAGAGCGATGACTCCACCATTTCCATCGAAGGAATTGGGTTTGCAGTTCATGAAGTCTTTATACGAACACTCCCTTGGGTGTTCGTGAGTAACTCCGGGGTTGGTTAGGTGGGTACCACTACCATATCCGAGGGTACCACCTTCACCGAAATGAGCTAGAGCAGTTGCCACTGCGGAGGATATCGCTGCTTGGAGATCAGCATGATCGAATTGCGGCGGCGAAGTTGGAGTTATCGGAGTAGTGTGTCTGTTTGATCTGCGAGGAGGCATCTTTTCTAAAAGAATACAAAGATGAGATGCAATAAGTCTAAAGCAATGGACACAAGCCAAAAGCTGAAAAGACAAGGTTATCCTAGTTCTGAGTGTATCGGGTCCTGACTTCCACAGGGTTCTGGAAACAATTCATAATGAGTCTATACCTAATAAACTTTATGAATTTGGAATAGTTATCCTCGAATGAATATTTGTTTCCTGAATAACTGTTACCAGCTGCATGTAAGAAAATAATCCTAACACATAATGTGAGCAGTGTTTCCACTCACTCATTAAGTTAACAAGATTATTATTTAATAGTGTGACACATAACACGTTTTGGTTACTTTGGTTGATCCTTCTTTGAGAACTCCTCATGAACTTGCTCTCGTTTCCTCCTGAATCTTCTGTCGTCTACTATGAGGAAGTGGTTACATCTATCTGGGTTTGTCGTGCGAGAATGGAAGTGTCTAAAGAATCTACGAGATTAAGTGAAACATTACGGGGTGATCCTTACAGAGTCCTCCTATAATTGCACAATGTATACAAGTTGTATATAATTCGAGATTAAATAGACCTTCGAATAAGCGATCCTACTCCAAAACCACAACTAAACAAGGAACAGATAGTGAAGCGTAGATCACAAATTCTAAGTCTATAAATTCTCAATTATATATAACCTTGGAAGTATACATTGTAAGATTATAGGCCTATCCGTAAGGGTCTTTTAAGTTATCACCTAAGTTATTTATATGGTGCCTAAAGTACTCCTATAGTATTTTAATGTAATGAACTTGGTGTGTTTTAAACTTGTTATCGCGCTATAGTATCATAGAATACTCCTATAGTATTCTAACTCTAATGTACTTGATCTAGTATTCTCTTGACTAGT